ACTCAGGAGCAGGGTGCAAAAACAAAGACAGCTTCTTCTCTGATCCTGGACTGGTTTAGTTTCCTAGTTAATTCCTGATGGCTGTTCTAAAATTACACTGCTCTTAATGGTCCCAATGAGAAATCATAGTAACTGGAGATTACCAGAGAGTAGGAAAGATCTGGATATGTCCCCCTTCACCTGGTTTTATGCTTTCATGGACCACAGAGGTAATTGATGGTAAGGGAACAGCTATGTTACCCAAGGATTCTCCTAAGACAAGGATAGCTTCATAGAATCATAGAATACTAGAACTAGTTGAGACCTCCAGAGATCATCAAGTCCATTCCTGTACCCCACAGTAGGTCCAAGCAGCGTCTACATCATCCCTGATAAATGTCTGTCTAATCTGTTCTTAAATATCTCCTATGATGGAGATTCTACAACCTACCTAGGCAATTTATTCCAGTGCTTAACCACCTTGACGGGAAGTTTTTCCTAATGTCCAGCTTAAACCTCCCTTGCTGCAATGTAAGCTCATTGCTTCTTGTCCTATCATCAGAGGTTAAGGAGAACAATTTCTCTCCCTCCTTCTTGTGACACCCTTTTAGGCATCTGAAAACTGCTATCATGTCCCCTCTCAGTCTCTTTTCTAAACTAAATAAGCCCAGTTCTTTCAGTCTTCCCACATAACTCATGATTTCTAAACCTTTAATAATTTTTGTTGCTCTTCTCTGGACCTTCTCCAATTTCTCCACATCCTTCTTGAAATGTGGTGCCCAGAACTGGACACAGTACTCCTATTGAGGCCTAATCAGTGCAGACTAGAGCGGAAGAATGACTTCTAATGTCGTGTTCACAACACTCCTGTTAATGCATTCCAGAATCAGGTTTGCCCTAATTGGCTTGGTGGAGGGGGCGTGGCTGGATCAACCTGCTTGGTGGGCTGGATCTGGCCCATGGAGGCCCTTTTGCCCACCCGTGATCTAAATTGTTGATGAAGATACCGAACAGAACTGGCCCCAAAACAGACCCCTGTGGAGCCCCATTTGTTATGTCCTCCAGCATGACCATGAACCATTAATAACTACTCTCTGAGAATGGTTATCCAGCCAGTTATGTACCAACCTTATAACAGCCCCAGCTAGGTTGTATTTCTTTAGTTTTTTGATAAGAAGGTAATACCTTTCAAATGCCTTACTAAAGTCAAGGTATGCCACGTCCACTGCTTCTCCATTATCCACAAGACTTATTATCCTATCAAAGAAAGCTATCAGATTGGTTTGATATGACCTGTTCTTTACAAGTCCATACTGGGTGTTTACCTATCACCTTATTATGTTCCAGATGTTTGCAGATGAATTCCTTTATTATTTGCTCCATTATCTTCCTTGGCATAGAAGTTAAACTGACTAGTCTGTAGTTTTCTGGGTTGTTTTTATTTCCCTTTTTATTGTTGGGCCCTATATTTGCCCTTTTCCTGTCTTCTGGAATCTCTACTGACTTCCAAGACTTTTCAAAGATGATACCTAATGGCTCAGATACCTCCTCTATCAGCTCCTTGAGTATTCTAGGATGCATTTAACCAGGCACTGTGACTTGAAGACATCTAACTTCTTTAAGTAATTTTCAACTTATTCTTTTCCTATTTTAACTTTTAAACCTACCCCATTTCCATTAGAATTCATTATGTTAGGCATCCAGTCATCATCAGTCTTACTGGTAAAAACTGAAACAAAGAAGTCATTAAGCACGTCTGCCATTTCCACGTTTTCTGTTATTGTTTTTCCCTCTTCATTGAGCAATGGGCCTAACCTGTCCTTGGTCTTCCTCTTACTTCTAATATATTTGTAGAATGTTTTCTTGTTACCTCTAGCTAGATTGATCTTATTTTGTGCCTTTACCTTTCTAATCTTGCTAAATATAGCTTGATAAAGCTTGATAAACATAAGCTATGATAAACACAGGGCACAGCATATATGTCCTATTTTTGTTTTTTTTGTGAAATATGTCATTTCCCATATTACTATAATCATAGCAAAATGTACAGCATAAAATATACAAGCTGTGAACCGAGTTATTGCTGCTGATAGAAAGTTTACTTTTGCAAGCATTACTTCTTTTAGCTCTTTGTAGTCTTCAACTGTGTATATTAACATTGTGTTAACAAAAGGTGCATCAGATTTAATTTAGGTTTGGATCGATCAGCTGGATTACCACATTCTGAAATAAATATTCAACCACAGCTATACAGAATCCTATGATTACTTAGGCTTACCTATTTGTTCCCACTGAAGTTTTTTTTTTTTTTTTTACGTTAGGCTTTCTTTAGAAGTCTCTGCTTGATTTTTTCCTTTTTTTGCAGACAGATTTGTATCATTTTCATTGCAATAGCAAGGAGTGACAATAGTATGCAGGTTTTATTACTTGTTTCTGGTTCTACACGCATTCTTGTCTTTTCTTCCCCAGAGGCAGCTTTCCATGCGCACTTCTTGAAACAGAGTCATTCTGTACTTCAGAGACATGAGTTATGGTAAGGAGGCACTTTATGGGTCGACTTACAAGTATCATGCTGATAAAAAGGAATTAGATAAAGTCTTGCTTTGTGGGAAAGAGATAAGTTAGAAACTGGGAATGAATAAAGAACAAACCAGTGATCTACAATTACAGGAGTGGATGGGAAACTTTCCTAAGCAGTCTCAGGAAAAGCCAGAGGTTATTATGGGAAATGCAATCATGTGTCTGATCCTTAGGGGCTACCCCAAAGTTAAGTACCAAACCTGAAGGATACCTAATGAATGAAACTTTCAGGTTCAAGATAAAAATACAAACTATATCACAGATAAAGCCAGATGAGTTGATCAGCCTGGTAGTGATATCTTGGTAGCTCCAATCAGAATGTCTGATTTATAGCCGTGATTGCTATTTTAATTCTTCCTTAGTATTGTCTGAGGGAGCTGTGTAAGTCTCAGGAGAACTTTGAAAAGGTAAATGTATATCTGTGTGCCCATATAGCTCCTTTTAAAGGAAAGGTTAAAAGGCAAACCAAGACTACCTGTTTCAATTACTCGAGACTTTTTCAAATGCTATGTAACAACCATGGCTAATTATAAGTAGCATTGTGAAGGAATTGTTCCACCAATTTTTGAGTGGGCCAAAAAGTGCATGCCCTCACCACCACTTTGAAAAGGGGCTAGTAATTTCAGCCAACATACCGCAGATATGAAAACTAGATTCCAATAAAGTGTTAACTGCTTTGGGCACTGAAAAATGAAGGCATTCAGATTCACTAGTCACTACTAGAAAATCTTGGCCTATATTCTTACACGCCAGTAGCTCAGTTATTGATGATGATATTTTGCTCAAACTTTTAGTTAAAAAGGATTACTTCTGTGCTGAGAACAAGATTTTTTTCCCCATAAATTATAAGCCTTTGAAAAGAAGGCTTGTACTTAAAGTCATTACCTAATTTTAACTGTTAAACTTTAATTACTTCAGAACTGTAACAGTGTTCTTTTAAGGGCAGATCTTGAATTTATGGTATATTCTGCAGAGCACGTTTATTTACTATAAAACTAGATTCCCTTCTTTACAGTTTCTTCAGGCAGCATGGAGCACTGTCCGGCAGATCAAGCCTCTAATAATTTTTTTACAAAATAACAGAGATATTAGTCAGTTTAGTAGGTTAAATCCAGCTATTGATTAGCAGCACTGGTGTCACATGACTTATCAATCACCTTCTAAACTCTTTTCTGCATACACATTATCAAATATCTAAGGGTACATCTACACAGCAACATTATTTTGAAATAACCAGAATTATTTCAAAATAACTTAGTCCGCATCTACACCGCAGCCAGTGAAATAATGTCAAAATACTGTCAAGCTAGAGGACTTCTTACTCTGATTCCTGTAACCCTCATTGTACGAGGAGGAAGAGTGCTGTGTTTTGAAATAAGTACTGTGTAGATGCTCCCAATTTCGAAATAAGCTACGCAATTGACATAGCTCAAGTTACACAGCTTATTTCGAGTTAAGCCCTGCTGTTTAGATGCACCCTAAATGAGGAACTTTAGCCCCTCCAATTTCTTCTTAACATAGACCTAACAATGTGGTAAAAATTAATTGTATTTAAAGCAGCCACAGATGTAAAGCCCAGGTGGAAAATACTCCAAACTCACAAAGCAACTACCAGAATACCTCAAAGTGCAAAGATGGTAATTTTACATCTCTGGAATTCTACATCTCTGGAAAATGAAGCAATTTAATATTAATCAGTGAAGAATGATGGTACAGGAGGTTATGCTGAGGGGACGGAGCTTCAAGTCCCAACGTTACAGATTTCCTGCGTGACACTGGGCAAGTTTCTCTGTGCCTCAGTTCCCACATATAAAATCTGGATAACAGCACTTGCTCTACATAAGTGTTGTGACAATAAATGTGTTAAAGACTGTAAGGTGCTCAAATCTTATGTTGATGAGGGTAGCTTATTTTAAGTCAAAATGATCACTTCCTTCCACATATGCCTGCTTATCTCAGTAACTGAAAACACCAGATAGCCATAGCCAGTAGTTTATAATCACAACATAGTGTGAAGAGATTTTCAGGTATCATTTTCTTTTTAGTTACCTCACAAAACATCAAAGACAAGTTCAGATGCTATAATATTGCAAATTCCTTCAATCTTAAACTGCATACCTGCCAGGCTGAGTGAATATCATATTACGACGAGTCATTTTAAAAAGCAATTTTTCTTTCTGATGAACAGGTGAAATTCAAAGGCTCCAGGACTATATTTGAAATTTCCTGGGAGATTTCAACAAAAAATCCAAGCAGAGCACAGAAATTTCTAAGTTGCTGCATCTGAAAAAGTAGCATCTTTCTTTGTTGTCAAAGCATTCTGTGCAGCTGTACACTGCTAGGAGAGATTCCTCTATGCAAGCTTTAAGTTGAGATGGATTCAGAAGCTCTATTAAAAGGCATTTTTTTAAGAAAGTTTTATTTTTAATCCATACCAGAATAAAATTATTCATTAGGTGCATTTAGATAAAAACCTAATTAGTGAATCTGTTTTCCTCTGTCAGTAGAATACAGTTATGCATAGCAAAATCTTGATATACAATAAATGTGCAACAGCAACTTTTTGTTATTTCCAGAGCAACGTACATGAAGATATCGTCATATGCTTGCCTCTACTTTCACTTCCACCAGCATTACACCACTGTTGAGATCAACTGTGTTACTTCCGACCGATACAAGTTGGAGAGGAAGTCCCAGCTGAGGTACTGGTTTCAGTGAGTTGTGAATAAGACCCAGACTGCTATGCTCAGAACAACTGTGATGCGCTTTGCTAGTTCTATCATCTTTACGTCTTCAGATGCTCATGATGCAATCTGCCTCTGCTCATTAGTCAGGCTCCTGCTAAGCAAACAACTGTATACCAAAGTGCTCAGTAATCTGATTTTCCCCCCCTCTTCCTGCAATTTTGTTCCTGTAACCATAGCCTTGCTATGGGAGAGCCCCACTGCAGTAAGAGCACCATGAGGCACTGTGCATCCAAAAGGTTCAATTATTCCTAAAACCTCCAGGTATGCAGAGGGCATGTGCTTATTGAGACACCCTTTGAGAGGATCCAATGTTCAGCCCCCTCTGTGACTGGCCAGCTCTGCTAAAAAAAAGGGTGGTAGGGTGTACTGCCCATGCTCATTTGGAGTACATATTACTCTAGGAGCGTGCTGGCAGGTAGCGGTCCTTGCACTCAGGAGAATGCAGAGACTGGGATCGTGGCTGGTCTTGGCACCAAGAATGCAAAAGTGGGGAAGGATACTTATTATTAGCATTGCTACACCACCAACGAGGTCCAGGCATAGACCAGAAGCCCATTGTTCTAGGTGTTTTATTCTGCCCTCCCCATCTCCCATGCTTCTGTGCAAGAGCCAGCCACAGCTATAGCCTGGCTCTTTAATTTGCATTGAATAATGCTCAAAGTGCTGCAGTACAGATAGTGCATAAAATGTTAAGGAGAAACTTGCACTTGAAGTTTCTTGAGAAGTGACAGTCTGCCTCCTCTGCACTACCTGCCTCTCAGTCTCTCCCTCCCTTACTCCAGTTTCAGGATCACATCACACAGCAAGTACACAAGTATCGTGCATGTCTCATAGTACATTTCCTTCCCCTAAGAAGTCATACTTCTGTGTGTTGTGAGCTAACGGATGTAAAGCTGCCTCGCTGACTCCGGCTAAACTGGCAGAAGCTTGCCGCTCGGGTTCTCCGGCCCTTTGTTTCGCTTTTGTTTCTGTCCTTGTCACGGAAGAGAAAGCTTTCGATCAGTTTCAGCTTCTCGTTCTCTTCCTTCAGGAAGAAATCAACAAGCACACTCTTCTCCTTTTTGATTTGTTCGCTGATGTCCTTAGGAATGTCAGGAATCAACCAGTCAACCAGCGCGCTGAGAAACATGACCAGGTTCTGCAAAATAAAGAGCAAAAGAACCACACTGCTTGCTAGGCTGGAAGGGTCTGTAATGCTCTAATTGAATCAGACCGCAGTTGCAGGATAGTTAGAAATGTCCCATCAACCCAGAGCCATATTAGCATTCTAACATGTTGTGTTTAAACTCTCTCTGACATTTTCATATGACTAAAATTAGGCACCTAAATAAGGCTACTATTCAGGAAAATGTCTCAATTCGAGAAATCAAAAGCACACACATTCTGAAGTATTTTACTCAATCAGAGCCCAAGTGGCCCTTTTATTTCACATACATGTATTGAGCACTCCACAACTTAGCTGGTAGAAACCAGCGTTTTCTATCTCAGCAGCAAGTATTGCATCAGCTCTAACAATACTAGTATCCTCTACACCTTGTTCTGCCAATGGGCTTCCTTCATGACATGAAAAGGCCACCCCTAAGTCCACTATATGTCCGTGCTCATTCCCTCCTCAGCTTGTCCGCTAACAAGAAGGTTTTTGGTGAGGTGGACATTAGCTCTGTGCGCAGACCAGAACACTGAATCTCAAATGGTATGGATGCACATGCGTACAGGTTCTAGGGGTGACAGGGCCTAGAGTGTGCAGGCAAGATGAATGCAGGCAGCATAACATACATTAGCTCAGGGCTACTCGACATAGAGTCCATGGTGCGGTTTGGGTTTATGCGGGACTCAACACACAGCCCGCAGGTGGGAGCCAAAACAAAAAAATTAGTCAATATAATGGTCTTCTGTTGATATGCGTTTTAGTAGTTAAATTCCTGGACTGTCATTACCCATTAAAAGTGCTGTCACATGGGTAGAATAGGGTAAATATTGCATTTCATTAATATCAGCAGAACTGACTTAAATGGGGCCTGCATGTTGTGTAATCTTGCCTCAGTCTTTGTATTCATGCCTGTCAGTGTGAAAGAAGCTATTTGCAGATATTTGCATATAGATTTGCATATATACGCAACCACATTTAAATTGCAGCCGTCAGCATATGCTATGAGTATCATTGTGGCCCTCGAGGCTTTCAAAGTTGAGTAGCCCTGCATTAGATTATCACAGATGCTCCTGTGACCAAAACTGTAATATGGTAAACACAACAGACTTACCTGAAATATAACAACAAATGCCAAACGAGCAGATAAGACTGACCAGTACTGCTTAGAAAATTCATACTGATCTGGGGACCACGGTGGTTCTCTGTAATCCTTGAACCTGTCAGTGAAGTTAGGTTGGTTAGCACACAATTTCCAGGTATCACAACTTTCCAGCAACAAAAGGTAGACAACTGAATCCCCTCACAGCAATAGATATTTCACCTCACAATATTAGTAACAATTTCAGGATCTGCTCTTAATCACTGTTGGCTCTGTTTCAAATCCAGCAGGGTTACTCTGCTTTTCCATAGAGATAACCAATATCCGAATGTGGCCCTAATGGTAAAAATCTTCTAGTGTGGTTGGATTTCCTTTTGGAAAATAAAATATACAGCTGTTCTAGTGTTAAACTCACCTCAGTGCAGAGGGTCTGATGTGCTGCAAATAAACAATGAATAAAGATATACTGCAGTGTAGTGAGAACAAAGAAAGCAATTAGTGTGCTTGTGAGAAGACTGTTGTTGAAACCCATTTTATTTACCACTGTCATTAAAGTTTTAGAAGTCAACAAGATGCTAACAAAACTTGCAGGTGATACTAAAATGGAATATTTTGCAAACATAAAAATAGAGACAGCAGACAAAGAGTGGTAAGAAATGAAGGCAGGAAACGAGAATCATTTTGGAAACATGCAAAATAGTATAAATAAAACAAAAGAGTTGAAGATATTATAAGACACAACTCTTGGAGGGAAACGTTTGAAAGCAGATACAGCGGGAAGAGCCTAAGGCTAACTGAGAGCAGCAAGTTAATACACATTGGCAACATGAGAGGGAAGCTGAAAAGGACAGTGTGATTTGCAGCTGCATAAGCAAAGACATGATGGAGCTGGGAGGTAATAGGTTCACCTGTAAACAACTCAGCTAAAACCACACCGGGAATACTGCATTGGGCTGTGGGGACATCAGGATGAAAAAAGACTATTGACAAATAGAACACAAATCAGAAAGCCAAAATGATCAGGGGTCTGCAGAGACTGGCTTTCCAGAAAATATTAAAGCACTGACTCTGTATTGCCCAGTGATGGTATATAACAACCCAGGTTGGACATTATAACCATCTATAAGCTACTGAAGGATATAAATACTCCCAGACTGAAATGGATTGCCTAGTGAGGTACACAGTGTATTGCTAAGGAGCAGGGGATGAAAGTAAGAAAGACAAAATCTGGTCTGACAATCAGGAAACACTTCCCGAGAGTAAGATTCATTGGACTGTGGAAAAGCCTCCATTGGGGCATGGAAGAGCTTTGCATATAAAACTAGACACCAAAAATCACTGACACAGTATAGCCCCATAACCTTGTGAGCATTGAATGCTTTCAGATCTTGAGGACATTTTGTACAGTTTCACTGGAAACCTTATTGTATAGGACACTTGACACTAGACTGAACTCATGCCTGTAGAGGAGAGGTTTACTAACTAGGAGGGAGCATTCTGAGGGAGCATGAGAAACTTTGGGGGGGGGGAACCTTAGAAGACACATTCAGAGCTGGGTAGCTAGAAAGCAGCAGCTACTGATTGAGTGCCCAGTTTTGAAGGTAGCACTGACACCAGCAGCAGCACAGAAGTAAGGGTGGCATGATATGGCATTGGCATCCTTATTTCTCCATTGCTGTTGTTGGCAGGCTGCCTTCAGAGCTGGGCACCCAGTCAACAGCCATTGCTCTCCATTCTCCCTGCAGATCTGGGTGGACAGAAACTGGTGGCTGGAAGCCAGGGAGAGGCCTAAACTACTGTAGACAGAAATGAGGGGGATGGAATCAAAGAAATTAGAGAACCACTGCTATAGTGCACAAATGATGTATAGAGAAGAGCAGGACTATCAATCAGAACAATGGAGAAGGTGCAATCGCTTTTTTCTATCTCTAACCTCTCCATTTCCAGGACAGCTTAACTGAGGAGCAACATTTCAGGGGACCTCTGGCCTTTCCATTCTGCAGAGCATTCCTAAGAATATGTCTCTTTGGGTATGTCTACACTACCCTCCTAGTTCGAACTACCCTTACTCCTCGTGACATTCAAATCCCGGGCTTCATTTGCAAGTGCGGTATGCCTACATTACCCTCCTAGTTCGAACTACCCTTACTCCTCGTGACATTCAAATCCCGGGCTTCATTTGCAAGTGCGGTATGCCTACATTACCCTCCTAGTTCGATCTAGGAGGGTAGTGTAGACATACCCATGCAGACTACATCTACACTGCAGGCTTTTTGTGCAAGAAGCTTTTTGTGGAAGAGATCTTCTGCAAAAACATCTTGTGCAAAAGCATGTCCACTCTACAAAAGCACATTGCAAAAGCGATGTGCTTTTGCATGAGAGAGCATCCACATTGCATGGACACTCTCTCGCAGGAAAGTTCTGATGGCCATTCACAGAATGGCCATCAGAGCACCTGTGCTTTTTCTGATAGGCAAAAAGCCCTCTGTTCTGCCATTCTACTGTAAATTTTCTTGCACAAAAACATGCCTGAGGTGTGGACGCTCTGCAAGTTTTTGCGCAAAAACGGCTAGTTTTGCACAAAAAAACTCTAGTGTAGATGTAGCCTCAGGAACTCATCTCAACATACTAAATCCCCTTCCACTTGGTTCTCAAAATATTTAATTCTGCAGATGATTGGCATAGGCTCTGCAGATCTCCGGTGGTCCAGGGACCCCAGATTAGCAATGACAGCAAGACAGTCCACTGCAAAAGAAAAAAGAAAGGACCAAACAGTGGGCAATGGGGCTTTACAACAGATAGCTAGAAAAGGTGAGAAGGCAAAATGGAATGTGTATGGGAAACAGGGAAGCCTGAGGAAAGTAGACACAGATAGAAAGGATTGGTTAAGACTGGAATGGAATAATATTAGCACAAAAAGGGAAGCTGAATCAATTTAGACAAAGTGCTTATGGGAATAAAAAAGGGCTTTATACAAATATAACAGGGTGTGTCTACATGGCACCATTATTTTGAGATAACTAGCGTTATTTTAAAATAACAATGCAAGTATCTACATGAGTGGTTCCCAACCTTTTCCAGATGGGGACCCATTTTGACAATTCAGGAAGACTTGGTGACCCAGGGTAATTCAAAAACAGGGGGAGGAGGGAGGACAGAGCCACATGGGGAGACACTTGGTGACCCCTTTGAAATGGAATGGTGACATTACAGGAGGAGTAACGGTAGTTTGAATTTGGAGCTTTAGTTTGAACTCCCTAGCCTGTGCTGCGTGTAGCCGCAGGCAGGTAGTTCGAACTACCGGGCATGTAAAAATGGTGGTGCCCGGAACATGCAAATGAAGCCCGGGATCTTTAAATCCCGGGCTTCATTTGCAAGTTCGAATGACTACATTAGCCATCCTAGTCCAAACTAGGGTGGCTAATGTAGACATACCCTAAGTTATTCCTCCCCAGAGCCTCCTTGCAGGAGGAATAACAGGTAGTTCGATTTAGGGCTTTAATTCGAAATATCGGGTCTCTGCCATGTGTAGACGTGGGCAATTAGTGCGGACTTGTAACTTTCAAAAATGGTGACCGGCTGGGAAGATGCAAATCATGCGCGGGATATTTAAATCCCGGGCTTGATTTGCAACTTCGAATGCCTACATTAGCCTCCCTAGTTCGAACTAGGGGGCTAGTGTAGACATACCCTAACATGCTTTTAAAAATTCCATTAAGGGAGACTTCACAATGTCCTGGCCAATTTATTCCATCCTGACAAGAAGTGGTTTAGCCCTAGTCTACACTACATTTTGAAATAACAAGCGGAGCGTTCACACTACCAAGCCCGTTATTTTGAACTAAGGGGCTGGTTATTTCAAAATAATAACTCCTGTTTCCCACGAGGAATAACGTTAATTCCAAAATAGCTATTTAGAAATAGCAGTAGTGTGGACACTCCAGTGCTGCTATTTCAAAATAACTACTCCCCAGAGTCATTCAGACTAATTACTCCCCAGTGCTTCCTGGGGCTCTAAATCGAGGTAGCACATCTACAATAATGGAGCCTGCCTTAGACTAATTTTAAGGCTTCCCCATAGTGTGGACATTTATCGGAATAATTATTTCTGGAATTATTATTTCAGGAGTTGTTATTTTGAAATAAGTCATTTTGAAATAATTCCCTGGGTTGAGGTATTCTCTTTTTATTTTAAATTGATCTTTGATCAGAAAAAAATAAAGAAGCAATGAGCGAAGAGTTGTTAAATAGTGATGGTCCTCCTCAGTGTTCTGAAGCTATGGTTCATAAAGCTGGTGAATATGGGGATAATTGGAAAAAATAAATTAAACAGATCAATTAATCCTGGTCACTAGGGAAATAGCTTGTTAAAATAATGCTTCACAGGTACAGTGCAAAAAGAAGCAGGTTTATGCTAAGGAAATCTCCCTATAAAGATTTGCATCTGCCTGGTTTCTCTTCTGAGCATGCACATGCTTTCAGGTACTCCATTATAACATACAATTAAAAGAACTAGGCCAATAAAATGTCATATAACTTAACATGGTCTGCTTTTAATTTGCCTTTAGCTACACAACTGTCCTTTGGCTCTGAAAAATCATTACAGCTAATGATATGCAAGAGATTAGCCTCACAGCAATGTTTATTTGGAAGTCGTGCCAAAGAGTTCATGGCACGGCATAAATTGCTACTCAAAATATTCAGAGAACGTATTTTGGATGTTCAGCTGGAGAAATGTCTAACTTGTTATGGTTATTTTTAAGATACCTTAATCTCTGGTGATGCCCGTAAGGAGCACATTTCAATCTTATTGTAACCACATCGATTTCCAGAGGTCACAGAAATCTAAGAATAAGGGAGGTCAGCCCGTTCCCAACATATTTGCCAGAAAAAGAAAAATGGATTTCTTTTCTAGTAAAGGCACAGTGTTTATAGCATGTCTCCTGGGTTTGCAGTTAGATATTCTATGCTTTATCAGAGTTAATGTACTAGCCAAAGCTGTGACTTGGATTTCACAAAGATGGGTGATATTCAGAAATAGCAGTACATTTGTGGATACCTTCCCATAGAGTTTTCCTGATAACTAAAGGAAGAGAAATGTTCTTATTTGTTTCTCACTGAACCAGCATCAGATTAGTCTGGTACAGTCAGACTTTTAACTTGTGTTTCTTGTTTTCAATACAGGAGACACATTCTGCTCACAGGGAAGAATTTGAATGTGATTGATAGTCAGTTCCAGACAATGAACCAGATTTACATCTGCTGTGGTTCTGTTCTCCTCCTTGTTTTCTAGCCCTATCAGGGCCATGTAAACCAATGCAGTGCATTTCATCATTGCTGCCCATGTACTTAGTCTCTTCAAGGACAAGGACAATGAAGCCTGTGTGAGCAGGTTCAAGTAAATGGAGTCAAAAGTAGGACAACCGAGGCTCTATTGACAGGGGTGGCCATGTCACAAAGATGATTACCTAAAATAACGTATAGCCACAAAGACGATTGGGGGATGGAAGAAAGGAATGCATCACAAATAACGTATAGCCACAAAGACTATTGGGGGATGGAAGAAAGGAATGCATCACAAACACTTTGGAGGAAAATCTAAAAGCATGTAATAGCTCTGTATTGCAGTAGAGAATTAACTGCTAGCAACCTAGTGGAATGGAGAGGAGGCATAAAGAGGAGAGCAATTTGGCAAAAGGAGGATCAGAGTATGTCAGGGGTTCTCAAACTTTGTGATACTGTGACCCCCCTCTAAGTTGCTCGCGACCCCCCCCCCCAGGGGGCAGGACCCACAGTTTGAGAAACGCGGGAATATGGTTTTAAGGAAATTAAATCTTACTTGCCACAGATGAATAGAAGATAACACTGAGCAGAAACCCCATCGACAGACTTGCTGATCAGAGGTGCCACATCAGTACTTCCTACAACATTCTTATTAGCCATCTGCAGGTTTTTACTCTTTCTACTGTCTCAGGGCATGTCTACATAGCAGGGCTAAACTTGAAATAAATGACATGACCTGAGCTACACTAATTGCGTAGCTTAAGTCTGACATGTCCTGAGCTACACTAATTGCGTAGCTTAAGTCGAAAGAGCTTATTTCAACTTTTGGCGTGGTCTACAAAGCAGTGATTTCAAAATAGAGCACTCTTCCCCTGACTTCCTTCACTCCTCACACAATGAGGGTTACAGGAGCCAGAGTAAAAAGCCTGTTATTTCAAATTTATTTCAAAACAACAGGCTTGCTGTACAGACGTATACTACATTATTTCAGAATAACTGACATTATTCCAAAATAATGCTGCTGTGTAGACATAGCCTCACAGACATCAAGGCCAAAAGGCACCATCATGATCATCTAGTCTGACTTCCTGACTTGTGGAATTTACTCATTTGAACAATTCTTATTCTGTAAAATCAATGGGATCACTTGTGTGAGTAAAGAATATTGCCATAAGACAGGTAGCAACAGTGGGACATAACTGTACACACACAGCCCACACTAAACAATGACAATTTGGATTTCTCTTCTTGGGAAAAAACCTCTATTTTACACGTGGTACATTCCTCTTGACTCTACAGAAAGCTAGTTATTAGACTTTTCTGTCATAACAAGATCCAATTTTTATACAGGTTGAACCTCTGTGGTTCAGGACTTTCTGGTTCATCAACATCCGTGATTTGGTAGGACAATGGATGTTGCTGAACTAGAGGGCCCCAGTGCGGAGATTGCCAGCGGCTCAGAGCAAAACCAGCTGGCAGGGCCGGAGGAGCACTGGAGCCTGCAGGGCACCAGAGCCAAGGCCTTTGGCCTTCATGTCTGTGAGACAGTAGAAAGAGCAATGGGGTTGCGAGTGCCAGCAGGGTTGTGGGGACCACAAGCACCAGCAGGGCTGCTGGAGTTTGTGGGTCTGGCAGAGCTCGCAGGACCAACAGAGCAGTCAGGGGTCAGCGGGGCTGCTGAAGCTAGGGGGTCAGGAGGTGTGGTGCCAGGTGGCTGAGGAAAGGCACTCAGAAGAGAGTCTGGCACTCCTCCACCTCCCCCTGTCCGGCAAACTCCCTTGTCCAGGACTGGTCAGGCCCCAAGGGAAACAGGAATAGTTAAATAGATCAGTGGCCACAATACAAAATGCTTTCAATAACTATAATAATAGATGTATTTACAATATTGTCTAGAAACTGCCTATAGTAAGTAAAGTGAAATATAGCTCACTGCAGCTAATACAAGGTATTTATGTAAGACAAAATTACGTAACCAGTGTTGGAAAAGGAGGATTTCTAACCAGGAAATAAAGCATGATTTCTATCCTGACTCATAGTATTACATGCCAGCATCTCAGTGTTCAAGGTAATCTAGGGATTTATGGATATAAAACAATTAAAGTATGATTCTAGCAACGTTCAGCCATTCATATTTTAAATATGATTAGATTTATTTATTTAAAATAGCCAATACAGTGCCATACCCACAGGCTTTGGCAGCACCACATTGGGGATTTGGCTAGATTCAGATCTCCCTTGATGACAATGTACATCCGATGTAACTTCACTGAAATCTGTGGAGAGACTGATCCAAAGCAGAACAGAATCAGCCTTCACAATCTGATGTCTAGTTTTGGTGTCTCAGTCCCCATTTCAGCCATGGTTGGAAATAACAAGCAGAAAATCCCTTCAGATGTAGTGACTCATGTTGAAAGGGGCAGTGGGAAATGTGTTGCAAACAGGTCTGATTACTGAGGTACCATTTTCAGTGTGAATAGTTTAAGTGCTTCTCACTAGGGGCTTGTCTGGGATGAGTCAGGTGGAGGAAGGATATGGCTAAGGCGGTCTCTTATTCACCTCCATTCAAGGAAATACTAAAGGACATTGCCAGAACTACTAGCTCTGCTGACTCTGGCTTGGTTCCCTTCTGAGCCCACAGAACTGGTTTAACCAGGAGGGGGCAAAGTCCACCAGCAATGAGGAAGTCTGTTCCTCCTCATGCTCCAAAGACTTTGTGTGGTCTATAAAAGGACATCCTCTTAGGCATGCAAAGGGGAACCAGAGTGAGTTTGAAGGCGATGGATAAAATCTGGAAAAGTAAAGCAATAAGCTTAGGAATGAAGCTGAGCGTCTTGAAAACGTGTGTATTTAGCAGCATGTTGTATGGATGTGAGACATGGGCGATAATGAAAGATTTGAAGAGAAGGATATTGGCGCTTGAGAGGAGTTGTTATAGAAAGATCGTGAGACTAGGATGGATGCAGAAGGTCACCAATGAGGAATTATATAGGAAGATACAGCCAAATGAGAACCTACTGCAGAAGTTTATACAGTGGAAGTTACAGCTATTCGGGCATATCTGCAGAAGAACGACAAGCGAAAAGGTAAGACCCTGGTATTCGGCATTATGAATGGTCCAAATAGAAGAGGCAGACCCCATAGAGAATGGGTATATTGGTGCGGAGATAGTCTACAGAAACTAAGCCACTCTGCACTGGACAGGGAAAGATGGAAGGGAGGCGTCAGACACCAACGGGCATTGAGCCCATTTGTTGTTGATGATGATAATGACCAGAGGTATTATTCCAAAAACAATTACACACTTCATTAAAGCCAGCGGGTGTGCTAAAGCATTCTTTGTGTTCAACAGAAGGAGCAATTAAGCACCTGTGTGTAGTAAGAACAACCTCAGAAAAACAGTGGGATCAACACCCTGAAAAGGTGAGCCACACCTTGGGCTAAGGGGCTTGCTAAGAAACTCCACATGCAGATGCCAGGTATTGGTTCTGGCTGTGAGAAGTGGGCTGTGCCCACGAAAGCTCATGATCCCATCAACATGTTTTGTTAGTCTATAGAGTGCTACCAGACCATTTGTTGTTTTTTTTCTGTAACAGACTAACTCGGCTACCCCCTGAAGCTCTTGGATGAAGCTGGTCATCTTATGCATGGAGGCAGCATTGGATTTTGCACCTACATCATATATATAGTAGCTCAGTGTCTAAGTCTGTAACGCCTGAAATGCTGGCTGTTCCCTCTGGGCGGAGCTGTTGCCTGAAATGTTGGCTGTTCCCTCTGGGTGGTGCTGTTGCCTGAGTCACGTTCTTTGCCTCCCAGCTTGGCGCTTGGCTGATTTCTGCACCGCTCAGCTGGGCTGCCGCGGGGGAGCAAGTAGTGCAAGTGGCTGTTTGGGCACCGCAGTCCCCATGCAGCACCTCCATGCTGCATGGGGAGCGCAGGGCCCAAATGGCCACTTGCGCTACTTGCTCCCCCGCGGCAGCCCAGCTCAGTGGGGCAGAAAGCAGC